GTCCAGCAATGAATCCCTGAAGCTATCTGTGCGGAGCTTTGGTGATTGTTGCCCATCTCGTATACGTGGCGGCGTTGATTTTGTTTGGCGGTGCGGATGTTCTGGCCGGTGTCCTCTGACACGAGGCCAAACACTCATCACGCGAACGCAATCGGCCAAACATTCCGACACGTCGTGGCAAGATCCTCCTGCCAACGAGGCTTGACACTCTCCTGTTGGTTCATGAAACGAGAGCATCGTGGATCGGCAGACACGGTCTCATTCCTCATATCTGTGTCTCCCTTGACTTATACCCACAACGCCGCCAATGATTAGCTTGTGCTGTTTATATTATAGAGCTGTATGTGTGTGTCAAACTATAACCCAGACTTTCGGCCTATAAACATGCGGCAGTTCGCCAGCAAGGAACTGCGTCGGTGAGACCGAGGAGACGGCGCTGTAAGCAGCCCGCGGGGCTCGTAGGTTGCTTGGACATCGAACTTTTATTTAATGTTTCGTGGTTGCGTTTTATCCCGTGGAGATACAGACATTCGCACGTTTACCGGGGCATTTATGACGCTCGCACGCACACACCCAGCCGCTCTGAGTGACGCAACCCCACGGTAAAATCGGAGAAACGGTTCGCACCTTGTCCTACCCAGACGTCATCCGCTCACGCAAGGAATGCAAATGATCTCGTTCGGCGCATTCCTGAGCATCCTCCACGTCCCCAGCGCGCTCCTCCCCACCGCTCACTTCCTCCCGCTCTACAATTCGCACCTCCTCCTCCTCCCTTCATTCCTCGCGCGCTCTCTCTCTATGCTCCTCCCCCACCTACCACCCAACTTCTGTCTCTCTCTTGCTCAGGTGTACGTGTGTGTGTGTATACAGGTAACGTCGATGGGAGAGAAGGTTGTCAAGTCCGGGGGCGCCGGGGGGGCGGGGCGGGCTGAGCCGACTTGCCTCGACTTTTAAGTCGCGCGTGGAACGACGCGTGACCGCCCCTGCATGCGGCTCACGGCCGCATTCGAGCTGCGTCTGCGCTCCGTGCTGCACGCGTTGTCACTGCGCGCGTGCGTGCGCGTGTGTGTGTGTGGACGCGAGTTGTTGTTGTTTCCTCTGCGTCTCCTCCCTCCCGCCGTCGTTTTTCCAAGGGTTCGTCGACCAACCACCCGCGCCCTCGCGCCAAACGACTCATCCCCATCGCGCCCTCGCTCCCTATTCAGCCGCGCGCTGCACAGCGAGACGAGGACGAGACGCGCGCGTGCGCGCGCGCCCGTGCGCGCCTCTGCGCTGTGCGCGATTGCAGTGCGTGAATAACTAACGACGCGAAGGCCGAAGCGAACGCACTAGTCGCGGCAAAAGACTGGAGAAGAAGACGAAGAAGGTAAACATCTGGGGGTGGGTCAGGGTGGGGGGGGGGGGGGGAATTGTTAATTCTATTAAACACACCTTGATTTTGGGGAGAATGTTTCGATTGTTGGATTTGTTGTGGCTGTTGTTGGTTGTGAATGTTGTACGTTGAACTTCTTTCGCGCCGTATGTAGCCAACCGCGCTAATCGGGAGGTCGCGGGAAGGACAACAAACTAAAGACAATAATCAGTTCTAAAGAAACGAGTTTTCAATCTAGATGATTTAAAGTGCACAGCTTCAGTGGGTCCCTAATATCGGAAAGAAGAGCGTTCCAGACGGCCGCAGGAGCGCGTCTGAAAGCGCGATGCGGTGACCGCCGTCTTTGTTCGATGGCTGCGCCAAAATCCGCTGCTGCTGCGGATGACCGGAGTCCACTTCATGGTTTATCCTCCTTAACGAGATCAGCGAGGTATTGTGGTTCATTTGTGACAAGCACTTTGTTCAATGGTGGTGATGAAAGTATAAATAGAGGTGATTGCCTATCAAGGAGATATGATTACCGAGTTGTCAATACCCTTTCTCGGGAGGGTCCTAACTGCTTATGGTCGCGATTGGTGAGTTTGAAATCGGGAACAGAGAACTTTTTACGTCACTGGCAGTGCTGCCAAGATTACAATAAGCCACCACGTGCTGCCTTAATAACAACGTTCAACATCGACAACACGCAGTACGTGATCAAGCGTTTCGACAGTGTCGGCAAGTGGGCCGTGTGGCATACGTCCCTTCTGTACGGGATAGAGTGTTGCCCCCTCGCACGCACGTGTTTTCGCCCACATGTAAACACTCGTTTATCAGCCGTTAACACCTTTAAATTATGATAACCGCAGAACTTTGGGTGGTGGTGTTCCTCCTCCTGTCTGGCGCTTTTGAGTCGTCCTCCCCATCAATAGTGCGTTTAGCTGTTGTCGTTTTAATGTCCCCCTGTGGACGGCTGGGACATGTGGGTTAGGATGATTTGAGGCGCTGTAACTTTGTGAGAGAAATTCGGATTTGCCATCGACATCAAGGAGCAAGGTTTGTAAGATAATCGTATTGTATCTGTCCCCAGTTAAACATAGAAGGAATATCAGTTTAAGACGTAGGCTTTCGCGACCAATGTTAGCCATAAGCAGTTTTTAGGTTCAGCGTAAATATGAATGTGTCGTTAAACCTGCCACCACCCGACACAGCCAATTAGTAAGGTTTGTCACGTAAACAAAACGTGCAATTGTATTACCAGTTCAGCACATCGGTGTGTTTGAGAGTAAACCCAGAGTAATTACCCCAGCAATATTCTTCCGTGTTCAATTATCCACGACAATAATTTCCAATGAAATATATTACAATTCATAATGATAATAATCATCATCAGCCATGGTTAATCCCCTATTGCTCAACGCCTTCCTTCCTGAATATATTTCGTGTCTTGCTTTGATGCAAACAATCAAATGAACAGTAAGAAAACGTATACTATAAATATGTATATTTCTGAGACTAGATTCAACTGTAAAATTATAAATGTTTTACACAGTTTGCGTGTCTCTCTCTTTGTCACTCCTCGTGGTCGCGTGGATTTTTCTCCGGGTCCTCCGCTTTTTTCCCTCCACCTTTGGAATCGGCATCACGCGTTTAGAGTATCTGTTAGCTCTATACAATTGCCACGTAATGATTATTAGCCACTTCTTTGAGCTATCATTTGTGGCCAGGTCGATAATGAAAAAAAGTTACACATCTTAGCGGGGGCCTTACCTGGAACAAAAAAAATAGGTTAGTAGTTTCATAGTTTTAAACATGACAACAGGCGGCTACTGGCCGCGACACTAACTTTGCCATGTGACTGCCTGAATCGCTTTATTTTTACGGCCCCTGCTACCGTCTCTCCTCCGCTCGTAAAAGTAAACTCGTGTGAGCGCTACACGCCGCTTTAGCAACATCCCGTAAACAAACCGCATTCGGCGCTACAGCCCTGCAGTTGCGTTTTGCCTTCAGAATCAGAATGTCTACTTAGACTGGAGAAATCCGATGTGAAGCTATTTTTTTTTACAGATGTCCTTCCTTGGGGATTATCATCGAGTTATGCTGGGCTTACGGATCGTCAAAGATATTTATGTATGTCGAGTCCATGGGCCAGAGGAGCAGTAATTGGTACCACCTAATCTTAGTCGTTATTCGCACAGAGTTATCTACACGGCCAATAAGAGTGAGTAAGTGGATAAGCCTACTCATGTTAATTGGCTGTCACACAATGAATTCCCTGCGATTAGCCGCACATAGAAGTGGGAGCCGCTAAAGTGATGCCACTTCAAGTCGTACCGACGCGTTAATTTAAATACCTTGCCCCGGGCTCGTGGGCTAAATAGCACGAAGGTGATGTTGACGAGACGTTAACTACCTCGCCTGGTATACAGGGGGCCCGTGAGTTCGATCTCAATCCTGACGCCTGCTGTATATTTGGAGTGTGCGTGTCTCTCTCTCCGTGGTCGCGTGGATTTTTATCCCGGTCTTCCGGTTTTTCCCCCTCCACATTAAGAATCAACATCGCGCATCTTTTAGTATTTGGCTGCTTGACGTTTCCACATGATGATAAGCCACTTCGTTGAGATACAATTTGTGATCGGCAGGTCGCTTCTGCAAGAGAGCTATATAGCTCAGGTGAGCCTTACCTGGTAAAATATTAAATATATAGTTAAAAACTTGTGTTAGAGCACGAACTTCATTCAGGACTCATCGATGATCCAAATCCCAGCTGCATCCCTGCCGCGGGGTCCTTCCTTGTTCGGACCACATGCAACGCGTGACGAGACGATACGGCGGTAAAACCGAGCCCCCGCCATAACTCAAGCGTCAACGCTGACGAGCCGATCGCTTTAAGGGCCGTCGCGACTCTTTATGTGAGGCGCAGAGTCGTCGTTAATCGCAAGAAGTCCCACGTAGCACCCCCACCGCCCCCCCCGCCCCTCGCCTTATGCAATGCGGTGCCACGCATCTTTAGATCACCTGCATTGCCGTATTATGCGGATCATAATGCGCACTTTTCAATGGATGCATTCTCAAGGAAAAGTTGCGGAGTGCTTCTTCCGGTAAGAGTGAGTGTGTGTGTGTGGTAGAGACCACATTTGAATAACCTTCTAGGCATTGGGCACATGTGCGGCGTGTGTCTTACTTTCCTAAGTGTCCCCTATAATCCGGAGAATACGGCAAGAACATTCTTAGCAGTAATCGTGGTAATGACACGGCATATAAGCACAGTATCGACGTCCCGGTTGCCAGGTGTGTAGGGAGAGATTTCCTCCAGCAGTGGATACATCATGGCTGATGATTATCATCGTCATATTGATGAGCAGGCCGTGCGACCTTAATGTGTGCAGTGTATTCCTGAATCAAAGTAAATTGCTCGGTTACCAAACTCCCCATTGCTTGCGTAATAAGCATTTTAATTTCAGTTGCAACGGGAAAATATAAATATAAATACCGTGGTCAGCAGATGTCAACTGGCAATTGTCAACTTCTTGCTCCTCCTACTCTGCGCATTCCCTCCCAGAAACGTCCCTGGAGGTGCCGCTGGGAGCTGAGGGCGACCTCGTTACGCAGCCGCTGAGCTCAGCCTTATCACCTGAAACAGTCTCAGTTCGAGTCAAGTCTAAGGTCAAAGCGATGTCCTGCCCAAATGAGCATCGAGGCATTGTGGTGGTCATCTCCCATTTGCAAGGCCTGCAGAGCAAGTGGTGGAAATTCCACATTCCTATGGCGGGAGAGTGATTGGCACTGGCATGAGTAGGTCGGTGAACAGCACCACGACCGGCCGCCTTTGTCTCCTTTGTGGCGATGTTTACACACCGCTCCACAGGTACTCAGTCGACCTGGGTCGAGTCCGAATTGCAAGTCCAGTGGTTTTTATTTATTTTATTTTATGCCTACGTGACTTTACCGAAAGAACCAAAGATGATAAGTCCAGTGTTGCTTAACATTTTTCCCGGAGCTTAGCCCCGGGACAACTGCCAGCTGAAATGAAGCCCCGGACTCTTTAATAACGCGGTCACGTTTCACGATTCACGCGCCGCTGGCGTGAAACGTGAATCGCGACCAACTCGCACGGGCGGCGTCACCAAAACACAAAATCCTCTCCCCCTAGAGCTCTCCCTTACCACCAGCCGCAGAAGTTCTCCGCATCGGTGGGTCGGGTGTAGGTTACATCGGTGGGTCGGGGTCGCTGGTGAGTCGGGTCGGGTCGATCACTCATCAGGCGGGCCGTGTGTGTTTGCGCTCTCGCGTTAAGCAAACTCCGATTTCGCGTGCGCAGGGCTCGCTCGCCGAAGGTGCGCAGTGACGATGCCGCACGGGGTGGAGCAGCAGCAGACGACGACGACGGAGTCCTCGGACTCTTTTAACCTGGGTAGAAGAAATTCTGGCCGACTGTTCGGGTGAGTCTCCGTGTGTTTGTGTTTGTTTTCACAACAACGACAAAAAACATGTGTTGCCCATGCATTATACGAGTAAGGGATATCGAGCTCTCTGCCATGTTGACGGGTCGTGCCGCGTGTTGGTCGGCACGATGATGCCCGACGTTTCGCACCACGTGTCGAGAACCTCTTCGGGGACCGAGAAAGAACCACGTGGCTGCGAGTTGCTGGAGGAGCCGAAACAGAACTGAACAATTCAGACCCGACGCAGAATAATGATACATCATCATCTTCATCGTCATTCGTGCTCTATCCACCGCTGGATTAATAGTCTCCCAAACTTACGCCATATTTCACCGTCGATCTTTAGGCAAAACTCGGTCTCGCTCCTACACGTGGGCCGATTGACTAAATCGCGATGGTGTCGCTCCATCTCCGCGGTGGTGGTCCATCAGGGCGGTCAATTGCTTGTCACGAGGTTAATTGTGCTGTGTGCTATTGACGTGTGCGATTGTGATGTAATACCCTGTCGCAAGATCAGACGTCCCTAGATCAGAACCCAGACGTCCCTAGCAATTGCAACCTTTGTCCCAATGATCTTTCGCCTCGTTCTAAAGAGTATCGTCGCTTGATTGATTGATTGGGTGGCTGGATGATTGATTGGGGTTTCTAGTCATAAGATATTTCCCATTTTTAAAATACCTGTAATACCTGTATACCCGGGTAACCCAGAGGTCACAAATATCACCAGCCGCTCCTTCGTGAGCCACCCCGTAAACGCCGTGCGTCTCGACCTTGCTCCACTCCGCGGCTCTCACTGTCGAGCTGACTCGATCTTCGCGGCACCGCACACGGCGAGACCAACTGCGACCGAAGGAGTTGAGAGGGCCGGCGGTGGGGGCTGACGGCTGTCTGCTGCCGTACTGCGCATGCGCGACCAATGGAGAGGGGAGTGTGCGAGTCCGGGAGGGGAGGGGAGGGGGGTGGCTGGATTGGCAACTGAACGGCACGGAGGAGTGGCCGACCGTCCGAGTTTGTAAGCTGTGAAGACACCGCGGCGCACGGCTTGCGAAGCGCCGATTCAGTGAGCCGCTCATCAGTGTGGCCCTCATCAATGTGACCTTTATCAGTGTGGCCCTCATCAGTGAGACCCTCATCAATGTGACCCTCATCAGTGTGACCCTCATCAGTGAGACCCGCATCAGTGTGGCCCTCATCAGTGTGACCCTCATCAATATGACCCCTTATCAGTGTGGCCCTTATCAGTGTGACCCTCATCAGTGTGACCCTCATCAATGTGACCCTCATCAATGTGACCCTCATCAATGTGACCCTCATCAGTGTGACCCTCATCAGTGTGGCCCTCATCAATGTGACCCCTTATCAGTGTGACCTTTATCAGTGTGGCACTCATCAGTGTGGCCCTCATCAATGTGACCCCTTATCAGTGTGACCCTCATCAGTGTGACCCTCATCAGTGTGACCTTTATCAGTGTGGCCTCATCAGTGTGACCCTCATCAGTGTGACCCTCATCAGTGTGGCCCTCATCATGGAGCCGTTCATCAGCGAGCCGCTTCTCACGGAGCCGCAGGGGGATGATCTTGTCCGTCCGCAGCCCGCGCAAGGTTGCGTAGAAACAAATTTGCTTGTAACAGTTGCGCGTGGGAGGGACCACGCGGTACGAGCCCGAGCCGCAGAGCCCGCGGCAGTGATTGACAACAACAACAACAACAGCAGCAGCAGCAACAGAGGCGACTGTGTGACGTGTTTGATTCGCAGCTCACACGGGCGAAACGGCGAACATCGCTCGTTCGCAGCCCTGAGCCATCGTGGTGGAAAGTTACATGCCGCCGACTTGCCCGCAAAGTGGTACCGTTGTTGTGTTAGAACCCCCAGGAGGGATGATGGGCTGAGTTGGCCCTGCAAACCTTTCCGATTTGCGTGCCGCTCGCTCTACCGAGCTGCGAAGGATTTGTACATTTGCTCGAAGGTCCACCTCTAAATCATTGCGCAATATCTCAGGGACCTCTTCCCCCCCTCCTCCTCCCTTCTGCTCCCCCCTCCTCCCCCTCTCTCCTCCTCCCCTTCCTCTCCCCCCCCCCCTCCTCCCCCCCTCCTCCTCCTCCTCATCCCCCCTCCTCCCCCTCTCTCCTCCTCCCCATCCTCTTCCCCCCCTCGTCCCCCCTCCTCCTCCTCCTCCCTTTCATCCTCCCCCTCTCACCTCCTCCTCTTCCCCCCCTCCTCCCCCCTCCTTCCCCCTCCTCCTCCTCCCCCTCCTCCTCTCCCTCTCTCCTCCTCCCCCTCATCCTCCCCCTCCTCCCCCTCTCTCCTCCTCCCCCTCCTCCTCCTTTTCGCCCCCCTCCTCCTCCCCCTCTCTCCTCCTCCCCATCCTCTTCCCCTCCTCCTCCCTCCTCCTCCTCCTCCCCCTCATCCACCCCCTCCTCCTCCCCCTCTCACCTCCTCCCCTTCCTCTTCCCCCCCTCCTCCCCCCTCCTCCCCCCTCCTCCTCCTCCCCCTCCTCCTCTCCCTCTCTCCTCCTCCCCCTCATCCTCCCCCTCTTCCTCCCCCTCTCTCATCCTCCCCCTCTCCTCCTCCTCCCCCTCTCCTCCTCCGCCCCTCCTCCTCGTCGTGATAGACGGCACAACATCGGCAAATTCGCAGGGCAGCCCGCCGCGGCTCGTTGAAACGCGAGCGGCTCGACTCGCTCTCGCCTCGGGGTGTCTGCGGAACCGTCGCCAGGACTTAGACACACAAAAAGAGGAGCTCGCAGCTAAATTATTTACATTAACCCCCCCCCCCCCCCACGGTGTTTGAGAACGAAAGTGCTGGCAAACCAATACATTAAAACGCGTGTATTCTGGCAACCCCTAAGGCAATATGTACGTTGGACTTCTTTCGCGCCGTACGTATCCCTAATCGGAGGTGCGGGGGAAGGAGAACCAACTAAACGCAAAAAAAGCAGTTGCGCGAACAATCTAGATGACGATTTAAAAAAAAAAAAACAGAAAGTGCCCAGCTCCCAGTGGCTTCCAATAGCGATCACGTCCTCCTGGCCTGCACCTGTGGGCTCGGCCTCGATGTGACAACGAGACAACCACGTGGCCATGCAGCTGCACGTGGCACCTCCAAGTGCGTCAGTGGCGCCAGGTCAAAGGGTCGCAATCACCACCGCATTGCTCACCACGCATTTCTCGCCACGCGCCCGGGAATTTACACGCAACGATCGGCGACGCTGCTGGTGAAGCTGTTGCTGCTCCGTTGGAAGTAGCGCACAAAGCATAATTTGCAACAACAAAAAAATACTAGTCCCATTTGTCAAGAACGCTTCCTTTAAAAATAACGTAACTCAATTATATTGCTTACCGGTTAAAACCCACTGAACTGGTTAGCTCGTTTTCAGAGGCGATCTGGCCACGCGTGTTGATGTCTCATCGAAGCGGCTGATATCGCCATTACAAGTGGGAATTTTAGAGTCGCAGGCAAATCATCTGGACGCGTGTTGTTTTTAAAAAATATGGAAGAGGGAGGGCAAAACCAGAGGGACCCGGAGAAAAATCAGCGCGACCACCACGGGCAGAGAGAGAGGGAGATAAAAAAAGACGCTAGGACTCTAAATAAAAATATGTAACAATAGGCATCGCAAGGGTTCGGGATTGAGGTCACGACCCTCCTACGTAGCAGACGAGGGAGGCAGATGACGCTTCGGGCAATAGCCCTTCTTCAGGGAAGACATATAAAAAAAACAAGAGCCATTGCTCGGGATGTCACCTCTTCTATGCTTTCTTGTAAGGTCCACGGGCAGTGCCATTGGTGAGTGGGTAGAGGTTTACGCGATAATTATGCGCCTAGCCAGAGAAGAGGCGAGTGTTGTTGTTGTACCAGCGGAGAACATGCGGTTGTCATGTAAACCGAGGGGTCAGGGGTTAGGTTGACCGTCAGCAGTCCAGACCGGGGGGGGGGGGGTCAGCAATGAGCGAGCCTCGACTCGTCTCCCTCCACAGCCAGCGTCCACACCCTCCCTCCTCACCACGGATTTCTAAGAGGTCAAAACGCGGCTGCTTGTCCAAGCGAGCGGGGCGGGGGGGAAGGTCTGTGTAGCCAGCAGCCAGGGCGTAAGGGGGAAGAGTCAGGGACGCTCAGCTCGACTTGCACAACCGCGCGCGTTTGTGCGTAAGAGAGAGAGAGAAAGAGTCGCGGACGTGTAGGCGCCTTCAATACACAGCGCGGGCATGGAAACGGCTTGACCCCTGCGAGGTCGCCCGCAAGAAGACGCCGTGGATCCCCATGGGAAACAGCCGGGGCCAAGCATCCTTCTTGTTGTGCGATCGCGGACCTCCCTCTGTGGGCGCCCCGGGCGAGGAGGGAGGGTGGGGTGGTTGGTTGTGTGCGGAGCGCCGGGCGGCTAAAACGCAGCAAGTTGGCACAGTAGGGAGGAGGGGGGGGGGCACAGGTGGTGCATCGGCCGGTCATCTCGGTCTGTCCCGTGACCTCCTGCCCGCGGGCGTTCGACAATTCACGTGGCCGTAAAGTGCACTTAGCCTGGCACAAGCGCCGTGGTGACGTCACCGCCACTCGTAGCGACACCCCCCCCCCCATCTCATCTTCTGTAACTGACCTCCAGCGCCGCGCGAGGTTCTCTGATCCTCTTTCTCCTTCTCTGTGCGCGACGCTGCTGCTACTGCTGCTGTCGGCTCACGGGAGCTGTGTGCGCGCGAATGTGTTGAGTTGGTACGTGCAGCGCATGGGGAGCGGTAGCGCGGCCGCTTAGCGCGCTGCGCTATGGACCCGGTGACCCGAGTTCGATTCCCTTTCACGGTCACCAACACCGGTGACGATTATCTGAATCAGTCCTGAGCCTCCCCTAGGTCGACTCTGTATCAAATGAGTACTTGGTGCGGTGTGTAGTAAGCATCGCCACTGGGGAGGCAAAGACGGCCCGATCCTGGTGCTGGCCACCCACCTCCGGCCTGCTCGCGAACAGCACTTGCCTCAAAAGTCTGTTGTCTCGTGCAGCCCAGTGTGGCGATCTACACTGGGAGGGCTGGATGAGGGGGGTCCGCCCATGCCGGGTGTCTGCGTTGTGGCAGTTTTTGTGGCACACTTCATCACACACACACACTCTGCTGACGCACGTGGTGCGTTAGCAAGGTGACGATTCATCGCCACCCTCCCCACACACCACATGAATTGTCACGATTTAGGCTGTCGCGATTTGATTCAAGAGGTCCATTTTGCGTGGTTGCGACCGCCCCGTTTTGCACCGTTGGCGTCTCTCGCGAGTACATTTGTATTCGCGTCGGAACGACATTGAAATCTCAACAACGGGAACCTAACGGCGTACAAGTGTTGCTGTAACATTGTCAACCATCGTTCTTACGTGCAAACAAAAAACAAGAAACGCTGCACAGGTATCGTGAGCATAAGATTGGATTTTAATTGTCCGAATCGATGAATCATCACGTGCCTGTCTGGCGGTCTCGTGTCAACGATGTCCGTGGCATCGGCAGATTTTAGTTGATTTGGCTGGTGAGGGAGGTTGCCTTGTTTGAATGAGCAGTCGCCCTTCGACCGCTGTGATCTGTGCAGCCGTTAATCGATCGACTTCAGAGTGACAGGACATTCGACGCCCATGGGGGAATTGTGACAGACCGCGCGAGTGACACACTCACACGCGCGCGCGTAACAATGACGTTCTAGAAGGGCTATATTCGGCTGAAACTTGCCACACACAAAATCGAGTCTATGTTTCACCACCATCATCATCATCGTCGTCGTCTTCATCCCTCCCACTCTGCATTTCCCGGCACCTGAGCACTTCCAGACAACGGCCTGCCCGCTCCATCGCTACGCCACACGCGACCTCGCCCATCGTGACAGCACGATCCTCTGTAACGCGAACAATGCGCCAAGTCAGGCGCCCGCTCGTCTTCAGCCGTGCGCTGCGTTCACGTCTCCAACCACTCCTACGTGAGCATATTGGCACAACAGAGAGAGAGAGAGAGACAGAGGGAGAGGAAAGTGGAAACAAAATGCGCGATGTCCCCTGGACACCTGCGGGCTATCTGCCCCTGGATCGTGGTGATGATGATGATGATGACCACTCCGGCCGGGAGAGTTGCACCGCCTGCACACTCCGTCGTTGGCTACGCAACCACCGAGACCCAACTACAGGCGACCTCAACTACAGGAGACCTCAACCACAGGCGACCTCAACTACAGGCGACCTCAACTACAGGCAACCTCAACTACAGGAGACCTCAACCACAGGAGACCTCAACCACAGGCGACATCAACTACAGAAGACCTCAACTACAGGCGACCTCAACTACAGGTGACCTTAACCACAGGCGACCTCAACTACAGGAGACCTCAACTACAGGCGACCTCAACTACAGGAGACCTCAACCACAGGCGACCTCAACTACAGGCGACCCTGGCTACAGGCGACCCAACAACAGGCGATCCTGGCTACAGGCGACCCTGACTACAGGCGACCTCACCTACAGGCGATCTCACCTACAGGCGACCCTGACTACAGGCGACCCTGGCTACAGGCGACCCAACAACAGGCGACCTCACCTACAGGCGCCGAGTCACTTCTGGGCGTTGGCTCCGATCGTCACCGGGGTCCTGCGTGCGGTTTTTTTAATTTTGCTGCCTCAGCACCAACATCAAAACTCCACAACAAGCGCCGCTCACGGGCATCGTCGCGGCTGTTGCGAGGTGGAGGGGTGGGGGTGGGGGGGTGGGGATCGCGACGGGGGGCGGGGATCGCGACGTGATCCGTTCCGTTGCCGCTAACCTCCCCGGGGCAGGTGGTGGCGATGGCGGTGATTAAAGAGCAGCGCAGGGCTGCCTGCTGCGCTCGTTGGGAGGGGGGGGGGCAGGGGGGGGAGCGAGGGGGGGTGCGAGAGGGGAGGGGGGCAGGGGGGGGGAGCGAGGGGGGGTGGTTGCGAGAGGGGGGGGTTGCGAGAGGGGGGGGGGGTTGCGAGAGGGGGGGGGGGCTCGCCCGCCGCTCGCTCGGGTTTTGTGACGCTCACGGACAGACCGGAGACAAACTCTGCGCACAACGGCGTGCGGACATTCCAAGCCAAAACCACTCAAACTAAAACCACGTGTAGGTTACCAGGTAAGGACCCCGCGCTGAGCTGCATGGCCCTTTGTCAGAAGCGACCTTTGGTCTCACAAATGATGAGCTCAACGAAGTGGGCTTTCCGCGTGGAAATGTAGAGCAACCGAATACTCTAAACGCGCGATGTTGATGATAAATGTGGAGGGAAAAACCGGAGGACCCGGAGAATAATGCACGCTACCACGGGTAGAGAGATAGAGAGACGTGCAAACTCCAACTATACAGTTTAATACGTGGGCTTTCGCGACCAATATGTATCCATAAGGAGGTATTTTGGTTAGACCGTCTAAACATAAGCAGGCGTCGCCAGGGTCGGGATCGAACCCACGACCTCCTGCATACCAGGCGAGGTAGTTAACATCTCCTAGCCGCCACGGCGCCCGAACAAAACAAATCCCATCTCAGATCAAAGCGCGGAACCGACTCTCGTGGGCACCCCCACCCCACCCCTGCCCGGACGGACACGGAGCAACGCGCGCGGCTCGGCCGAGTCGGCAGGGAGCGGTCGGATTCGCGGCGCTGATCCGGTCAGCGCCGTCCTCTACGAGCGGCGTGCGGCGGCGATTCGAGGCGGGAGGGCCCCCGCGCAGAATGTGACTGCGGTCGTCCCCAACCAACGCCGTCGAGATGGAGCGATGACATCGGCAACCCGTTGCGGGAGCGAGATCGTTACATCACAAGGGCCGTGGGAGGTGATTGCGACTTGGAAACGCCTTCATCCACCAGTGAATGGATGATGACGGCGACGATGATGACACGGTTCATCATCACCATCGCCACCACCATCATCGTCGCAAATCCACTCGTCCATTCTCATATTACTGCCGCATCTCGGCGAAACTGTAAGCAAACGAAGCGGCGTTATATATTTTTTCTAATGTACATTTTCGAATTTTCCACATCGGGTGTCCGTCTCAGTGGACTCTTACCTGGCTATGAATAGCGCCTTGACCTTTATTGAAAGCCAGCTGAGAGAGAGAGAGCGCGCGGGCGCGTGCTTACGAGCAGAGCACCTGCAGGAATGTCCCCCGTCTCGTCAGACCTGGGAAGCTAAGCGGCGCGTGAGCCTGGTTCAAGTGCTTCTTGGATGGGCGATCATCGGCCGCCACGCACCAACAGGTTTGCTATGTTTTTGACCTAAATCTTTCGTGACCGCAGGAATTCATATTCTTTGGTTCTTTCGGTAAAGTCACGCAGATAGAATGAAAATAAAGTAAAAAATTAAATATAAACAAAAAAAACCCCACAACGTTTGGATCGCTTGTGTTGCGATCGAAACGTCGTGTTTTTATTTTTAGATTTTATTTTTTTATTCTATCGACGTGACTTTACCGAAAGAACCAAACAACAGGTTTGCTATAGGCTGCTTTCGGGGGGTGGGGGGCGGCGATGGGTGGGGGAGGCAAATCAGAAAAACAAACACCCATTGTTGTCCTGTACTTCTACGTTGCAGAGGTGTAACGCTCCCTCACCTTCGCCAACCCACACCTCGCAGGGTCTTTACCGTCCACCTTACCGATGGGATTGGAGCTTGTGCGGCTGGCTGGGCTGCGAGCCGGCGGACGGTTCGAGACTCGTGGCGAGATGCCCAGGCGGGCGATGGGCACGGCGCGGATGGAAATTGAGATTCGGACCGCTGCATCGCGGAACCGAGAGAGGCCGCGACGGGATAGGGGGGAGGCCTTCATCCAGCGGCGGATTGATCATGGCTGATGATGATCATGATGATTTGTGTGTTTAACTATGCTCCTTTAAATCATGCCAGAGGTTAAGAATTAATAAAGATGATGTTAGTAATAATCAGTAATTCAGAATGTGAATGTTGTCGGTCTCCGATTGCAGGAAGTCGAGGAACGTAGACAACGCGGACTCGGATGATGGACTGAGCCCCACGACGACAACTACGACGATGAGCAGCGCCGTTATGGTACGCACGCGGGACACTCGCTGCGTCTCTCACACTCTCTGTCCATCACTCTCCACGTCTGTCAATCGCGCGTTCTCTCTCTGTCTGTATCTTCCCATCGGTCTCTCTCGCACTCTTTCTCTGTGCGTGTCTCTCTCTTTCTCTTTATTAGCTGCACCTTTATGTCTCTCAACGTCACATCCATCACAATCTCTTAACTGCACGATGCACAGCCGTTTTGTTACATATAAAGACAAATACAAAGATCCCCCGTGTAGCCTTAGCAGACTGTTGGGGCAAGTGCTGTTAGCGAGGTATGAAAGAGGTTTAGGACAAAGTGGGTCGAGGTAGATGTGGCGTTCCGAGGTAATTTCCAGAACCGAGGTGTTCCGGACTGTTTCGGATGAAATGAAGCGCTGCTATGATGACGAGCAAGCTGCGTGTGACGATAAAAATACGAACATTGCTTATTTTCCACATCTCATGAGCCACACGGCCTTATAAAGGTGGTGCAATTTCAGCCGCATCTGTGCAACACGAGCAATAACTCTGGGAAGGTTTCGGCACGCGGTGTCTCATCAGAAAGTCAGGCTTGTTTGAGCCAGTGCTGGTGGACTGCCAGATGATGGTCATAGAGGTAGACTCAGCAGTGGTTCTTAGCCTTTCTGCAGCCTTGCGCCCCTCTGGTTCTCAATCGAAAAAAAAGTGTAATGTTAATAAATACATGTGCTTTGATGAAATCAAGTAGTCGTTACGTAGGTGCCCGTGCTAAATTTGTGTTTCGATGATTTACCTGCTAACACAAATCTGGCCATGTCTCGCACACCCATAAAGGAGATCACGCACCCCCAGGGGCTGCGTGCAACACCAGGTTAAGAACCACTGGGTTTAAAAAAAATAGGGGTCCTAGTTTAACGCAAGACAGCAAATACATAATTGATCATTTAAGATTAATAAGTAATGATATGTTTACGATTTGATCATTCACGATTTATGCAAATTTATAGACAAATGTCACCCCACCTTAGGCTAATCGGGCCAAAGCAAACAGAGCGCAACAAAATACCAACAGCGGTGAGAGGAGCAAATCTAATTTGGATGAATGAAACAAAATTAAACAAACCTCAAACCGTGGCGGGCCGGCGAAATGGCGACAAAGCGTCACATCGCGGGCAAGCACCTGGAGGAGCTACCGTGGCATTCCGTCTGCCCACCCACTTCCCCAAGGGGCCACCTAGCCTGGCACGGAGCCCTGCCTGGCGACGAGGCTCGCACAGCCAGACCCGCACGCGGCCGGCCTGTACCGCCTCGCATCGCGACACGGTGGCTAGGAGATGTTGACTCCCTCGCCTGCTACGCAGGAGGTCGTTGGTTCGATCCCGACCCCGATGCCTGCTGTATATTTGGAGTTTGCGTGTCTCTCTCTATCCCCGTGGTCGCGAGGAATTTTCTCCGAGTTTTCCGGGGTTTCCCTCGCAGATTTTGAATCAACGTGGCGCGTTCAGAGTATTTGGCTGCTTTAAAATTTCAACGCGATCACAAACCAATTCGTTGAGCTGTCATTTGTGAAAGCCATGGTCGCTTCTACAAAAGAGCTATGCAGTAGCTCAGAGACCCTTGCTTTGTAAAAAAAATAGATATAGTGTTTTCTAGTTTCATGCCCTAGGGTCGTGTCCTCTGTGTACGTGCGTGTTGTTTTCTCTGCAGTCGCTCAAGAAGCAGGAGTCGCAGTTCCACAAACTTTTCCCCACCATCCCCCAGCAGGAGCTACTTCTCGAGAGTAGGTTCCTTCCTTTGGGGGGGGGGGCACGGTGGGGGGGCACGGGGGGGGTCACGAGGGGCTGGGGTTGTTGTTAAACCGGGCTCGGAGGAGAGGTGTTGAGCAAGAGCTGTTCGTGATGTTAAGTCGAGAGAAAAGCATCTGCAGAGAGGAGCTGTAGCTGAGGAGAAGGGGAGACGAAGGGATCTGACGCGACTTACATTTGCAGACGCGAAGTAGTGAAGCTCGCGGTTCGAATCCCCAGCTCAGATTGGCGGAAGGAAGTGATGGCGAGGCGTGGTGGTGATGGTGACGGTGGTGGTGGTGGTGACGATGGTGGTGGTGACGAGGGTGGACTATCAACATAATCTATCATTGTCCGTTGCGACCTCTTGGCTGACCTTGACCCAAATCTGATCCCCGGGTTCCCTGTGTGCACGCCCACGCAGCGTACAGCTGTGCTCTCAAGAAGGACTTCCTCTACCACGGGAAGATGTTCGTCTCCCAGAACTGGATCTGTTTCCACTCTCGCATCATCCACAAACAGCTGCAGGTGAGGACGACTTTAAAAGTAAACTTTTGTTTATTTTTATAGCTTTACTAGGTACGGTCCACCGAGCGATGCAGCTCTTTTTCAGAAGCGACCTGACGATGACAAACGGCAGCTCAACGAGTGGGCTCATCATCATCATCGTGTGGACATTTATAGTCGCAGCAGCGAAATACTCTAAACGCGTGCTGATGTTGATTCTAAATTGTGGAGGGAAAAAACCGGGGGGCCTGGGGAAAAATCCACGCGACCACAGGGAGAATGTGCAAACTCTAAATATACAGCAGCAGCAGGCGTCAGGGTCAGGATCGAACTCAAGACCTCCTGCGTACCAGGCGAGAGAGTTGACATCTCACCACCACGACTCTGTGTGCCCTGTGGTCGTGGGGGAGGAGGAGAGCACCCTGGGTAAGAAATATTCAGGGCGTCCACCCAGGGACTGTTTGCTCTTCCATCCGCAATGGTGGGCGACGATGCGGTAGCACGTTCGCTGCTGGTCGCAGAGGTTCGAATCCAGCGGCCGCCCTGATTAATACGGCGGGTGTAATAACCACAATAATGCTACTACGACTACTACGACGTGCAGTCTGCTTCACAGTAGACGTCCAAGACGTCGTTCGCAAGAGAAGGCCATTGTGTGCTGGCGTCAGGGTCCAAATTCGCTAAAAGTGTTAAAAGGTTAACCAGAAATTACTCAAGTGGTATTATATACAAAACAGCATCCATTTCCCCCCTGCTGGCAGGAGACTGATGCCCCCCGGTCACTCTTGCGACCGAGACTCATTGTGGTCTCTTGAGAGTTCTCTTCCGGTTTAAAAAAATAACAAACTAAGTTGAACCGACAGAATCTACCTACTTGCCGGATAAATTAACCGTTCAGCCTAAACTTGTAGCAATCGGGTGCCTTCGTGAAATTTATGACCAAAATAAAATCCCATTTCCCTATTGGCCCGCTGGTTACCCTCCCACTTCAGCAACACCCAAACTTTCCTCGTTTGGGTGGTTGCTCCTCGCCCTGTGCTGTCCCCCGCTGTCTGAAATTCACTGCCTCTTGCCGTGCGTGCCGATTTGACGTCACCGGGGTGTCTTTTCGAAAAGGGACAGCTGACGGCAAATGGGATGAAAGAAACCCCACAATAACCCCCGTTGGTAGGCAACAATCTAGGGTCGAGCAAGCGAGGGTCAACGTGCCAAATATATTGGTTGAGGAAGCTGCTCTGCTCCGTCGCGGGCTCGCCACACAGGGCGCACTCTGGCATCATCGCCTGCGCGCTTTCTCACCTTGCCAATCCGAGGCGTCCCACGGAGGGGTCAGAGTTGAGCCCCACACGCACCGTGGAGTACCACGGTGGCGAGGTGTTAACGACCTCGCCTGGTGTGCAGGAGGTCGTGCGTTCGATCCCGACGCTGACGCCTGCTGTACATATGGAGTTTGCACACTCTCCACGGTTCCCCCCCCCACCCCTCCACATTTAGAATCAATAACACGCGTTTAGGCTACAGCATTTGGCTGCTGCCGTAAATATCCACGTGTTGAGCCACTTCCGTTGAGCAATTTTACATAAAACAATCTAAATTGTCGAGTTTTACTTTCAAATGTGGACTTTCCGCAAACAGTCCCGGCGCTACCTACAGAGATGGAAATCGCCACCTCCGTTCCTCGGTTGATCGGAGAGAGACGGAGAGATGATAGAGATGGAGAGAGAGAGTGAGGAGATAGACAGAGCGACGGAGAGCGACGGAGAGAGATAGGGAACCACCAAGGGATTCTCCCGAGTCGACCCCAAACCGCGCACGCAAAACCAAAAACTCGTAACCGCGTGCCGGCAGCCCCGGCGCGCTCTCGTGCGCCATCGATGTGTCGCGCCGTGCGTCGAAACTTCAACCCCCGACACCGCGGCGCGCCACAGCAGCAGAAACGTCCATGGCACGAGCGCGCCGGCGATGTCACCGCGCACGTGCTTTGCTTTGCTTTGCAAGAAAACAAAAACAACCCCCCGGTGCTGCCCTCCACCTGGGTCCTCCGTGGTGCCGTCTGCTCCCTGCGCTCTCGCGCTATACAAATGATGTCCGCGTTCGCTGCCCACGTTCGCTGCCCGTGCTCGCCGTTGAATGCATGCGGCCGGAGGGCAGCAATCTCATACTAACCGAGTCGCGTTGCCGTAACAAGCGAGACGATGTATGCACGTGTGTTGAACTTCTTTCGCACGGCACGTAGCCAACCGTGCTAATCGGCGGTGCGATGGCAGTGGCGTAGCTATTGAGCGTGCAGGCGGTGCAACTGCACCTGTGCCCGTGGGTCGGAGAGGCCATGGCGCCAGGCTTCAAAGGGGTGGGGGCGTGTGGGGGGGGGCGGTGTTCGACAGAGTGAGGGGTCTCATTCACTCCATGGCACCGCGAGGTGGCCGAGCGGGTTTGCCTGCCTGAGGAGCGTGCGCGTGGCGTGGCATGGTGTGGCATGGTGTGATGTGGCGTGGTGTGTGCGTGGTGTGGCGTGGCGTGTTGTGGCGTGGTGCGACGTGGCGTGGTGTGTTGTGGCGTGGCGTGGCGTGGTGTGGTGTGGTGTAACGTGGTGTAACGTGGTGTGGCGTGGCGTGGTGTGTTGTGGCGTGGCGTGGCGTGGTGCGTCGCAGGTGACCATCCCCGTGGGGTCCGTGCGCACCATCAAGAAGCACCGCATGGTGAAGCTGCTGCCGAACGCGCTGTGCCTGCTCACCAGCGACGGCACCAAGGTGAGCGAGACTCGCCGCCACGTCGCTCCTTCCACCACCACCACCACCACTGTCACCACCACCACTGTCACCATCATCACCACCGCCACTGTCACCATCACCACCATCGGTGTAGGAGCTACCCACTGCTGGATGCAGGTCTCCGCCAGGTTTTGTTCCGCCACCTGTTGCGCTCTTGCGATCCTGCCGAGCGCCCGGATTCATCCCTACGCAGACCTCCGTCCCCTCTGGCCGCAACTCACTCCACCGTTCGCCTCCTGCCCAGCACCGCCGCGGGGAGGGTGGGTGCAGGGGGGTGGGGGGGTCAGGTGGATCGTTGTATCACGGGATCAAGGGAGTTGCCGACGGTTTGCAAAGGCCTTCATCCAGCATTGGATAAACCATTGCCGCTCGTGATTATGGCGAAGGGGTTTTTACTGAACGAGGTGAAAGTTCAGACGGAACTATCGTGTCGAGTGGGGGGAGACACCTGTAACAGCGCCACTGTGGCTAGGAGATGTTAACTACCTCGCCTTGGTATACAGGAGGTCGTGGGTTCGATCCTGACCCTGACGCCTGTTATATATTCCGAGTTTGCATGTCTCTCTCTCTCCCAAACGTGCGTTTAGAGTATTTCGCTGCTATAAATGTCCACATTGACAAGGCACTCTGTTAGGCTATCATTTGTGGCCAGGTCACTTCTGAAAAAGAGCTACATAGCTCAGTGGGCCTTACCTGGTAAAATAAACATAATAGTAAATGTGAATCGTACGAGTGGTACACAATGGGTTTTAAAAGAGCTACGTAGTTACCCGTGAGTGATTTTCGAAGTTGTAATTTGTTTCAGGACAATGACGCACAATGGTCCATTCTCATACGCGACGTGGTGGTCTTGCAGCTCCTGCTGCATTGGCGGTGGTGCACAGGCACGCATCACGAATTCAACCCATTCGTCAATGGCAACACTTGTGTGTGGACTTAAATGGATTCATTATCTAGATTGAAAACTCTATGGATTTCTGTGGGTCTCTGTGGGTCTCTATGGGTCTCGATGGGTCTCTTCATTCCAATATTAGGACGCCACTGGAGGTATGTACTTTTTAAACCATATAGATTGCAACTCATTTCCTTAGAACTGCGTTTTGTCATTGGACCTCCTTTGCCAGTACCAAAATATAATAATAGGGTTTTCCCCCTTTTTTCTGGCAAACAAAACTGAAACCTTTTTTACAAGGATTCATGTCTGCATTAACCACAATACCTGCAGTCAAAATGCAAACAAAAAACACACTGATAATATATGCATTGTCCTTGAAACTGATTGGTCCACAACCAGAGACAGCTTTCTTTAGAGCCTCGACCCAATTGGTGCTCGACCAGATGACGCCAAAAGGTGCCAAAAGGCGTCATCTGGTCTAGCACCAATTAAGACCAGGCTCTAAAGAAAGCTGTCTCTGGTTGTGGACCAATCAGTTTCAAGGACAATGCATATATTATCAGTGTGTTTTTTTGTTTTTTGTTTGCATTTTAACTGCAAGTATTGTGGTTAATGCAGACATGAATCCTCGTAAAAAAAAAGTTTCAGTTTTGTTGCCAGAAAAACAGGGGAAAAACCCTATTATTATTATAACTGCTTTTTGTGTTTAGTTTATTGTCCTCCCCCCACACCTCCGATAAGCACGGGTTAGCGACGTAGGGTGCGAAAGAAGTTCAACATACGTAAAAAAACAACACAGCACGGTGTTATAGAGAAATGTGTAGAGTTTGTGTTGTTGCTGCTGTTAATCTTATGAGCAGTCGCCCTGAGCTCTCCAAAACCAGACAGAGAATCGCCTTCGTGCCGCGACCTCGCACGACCTCTCCCCCACCCCCCCCCCCCGAGTCGCGCGGATTTTCATTCCGCTCCGCAACCCTCGCGCCGCGCGATCCGTCACGGCCTTTCCGTGCAACTGGGCTCAAGGAGACGGCGCGAATAATAATCCCCTGCTATGGTTTCTGAGAAATGTCTCGGAGTAAAGGGAGGACATCTCGGGGCCGCGCAGGGTCCCTTTGTCAACCCGCCGCTCGTTGCAATTGCTGCTGCTGCTGCTGCTACTGCAGCCCGTCGAATTTTTATATAAAACACCAAACGACGTCTCGGTTGTGCGAGTGCGTCAAGTCGCCCGCCGCTCACGACGTGTCCACCCTCTTGCCTCCCTCCCCTCTCCTTGTCCTCCTCGTCCTCGTCGTCACCCAGTACCGCTTCACCTCGCTGATGTCACGCGACACCACCTACAACCACCTCCACTCGCTCTGCAAAAACCTGGAGGTGAGACGGGGACGGCGCAAAAACGGGGAAATATTTTCACGGTGTGGGGAGGGGGTGTCACCGGCTGGCTGTACAGTGAGGGAAAAAAGTATTTGATCCCCTGCTGATTTTGTACGTTTGCCCACTGACGAAGAAATGATCAGTCTATAATTTTAATGGTAGGTTTATTTGAACAGTGAGAGACAGAATAACAGAACATTTTTCAGAAAAACGCATGTCAAAAATGTTATAAATTGAGCGAAATAAGTATTTGACCCCTTTGCAAAACATGACTTAGTACTTGGTGGCAAAACCCTTGTTGGCAATCACAGAGGTCAGACGTTTCTTGTAGTTGGCCACCAGGTTTGCACACATCTCAAGAGGGATTTTGTCCCACTCCTCTTTGCAGATCTTCTCCAAGTCATTAAGGTTTCGAGGCTGACGTTTGGCAACTCGAACCTTCAGCTCCCTCCACAGATTTTCTATGGGATTAAGGTCTGGAGACTGGCTAGGCCACTCCAGGACCTTAATGTGCTTCTTCTTGAGCCACTCCTTTGTTGCCTTGGCCGTGTGTTTTGGGTCATTGTCATGCTGGAATACCCATCCACGACCCATTTTCAATGCCCTGGCTGAGGGAAGGAGGTTCCCACCCAAGATTTGACAGTACATGGCCCCGTCCATCGTCCCTTTGATGCGGTGAAGTTGTCCTGTCCCCTTAGCAGAAAAACACCCCCAAAGCATAATGTTTCCACCTCCATGTTTGACGGTGGGGATGGTGTTCTTGGGGTCATAGGCAGCATTCCTCCTCCTCCTCCAAACATGGCGAGTTGAGTTGATGCCAAAGAGCTCCATTTTGGTCTCATCTGACCACAACACTTTCACCCAGTTGTCCTCTGAATCATTCAGATGTTCATTGGCAAACTTCAGACGGGCATGTATATGTGCTTTCTTGAGCAGGGGGACCTTGCGGGCGCTGCAGGATTTCAGTCCTTCACGGCGTAGTGTGTTACCAATTGTTTCCTTGGTGACTATGGTCCCAGCTGCCTTGAGATCATTGCCAAGATCCTCCCGTGTAGTTCTGGGATGATTCCTCACCGTTCTCATGATCATTGCAACTCCACGAGGTGAGATCTTGCATGGAGCCCCAGGCCGAGGGAGATTGACAGTTCTTTTGTGTTTCTTCCATTTGCAAATAATTGCACCAACTGTTGTCACCTTCTCACCAAACTGCTTGGTAATGGTCTTGTAGCCCATTCCAGCCTTGTGTAGGTCTACAATCTTGTCCCTGACATCCTTGGAGAGCCCTTTGGTCTTGGCCATGGTGGAGAGTTTGTAATCTGATTGATTTATTGCTTCTGTGGACAGGTGTCTTTTATGCAGGTAACAAGCTGAGATTAGGAGCACTTAGAGTGTGCTCCTAATCTCAGCTCGTTTCCTGTATAAAAGACACCTGGGAGCCAGAAATCTTTCTGATTGAGAGGGGGTCAAATATGTATTTCCCTCATTAAAATACAAATCAATTTATAACATTTTTGACATGCGTTTTTCTGGATTTTCTTGTTGTTATTCTGCCTCTCACTGTTCAAATAAACCTACCATTAAAATTATAAACTGATCATTCATTTGTCAGTGGGCAAACATACAAAATTAGCAGGGGATCAAATACTTTTTTCCCTCACTGTAACAGTAGACGCTTGACCCGTGGTGGGTAGTAGCCGCAGCCAGAGGTGGCGAGATGTTAACTACCTCGCCTGGTATACAGGAGGTCGGGGATACGATGTAAGACCCTGACGATGCCTGCTGTACACTTGGAGTTTGTAGGATCTCTCTGCCCGTGGTCACGTAGAATTTTTGTCGGGGTTCTCCGTTTAATGCGATAGCCAAGTTGCTTCTGAAGAAAAGCCTCGTAGACTCGTTGGGGGGCATTTGCTGCTCCCCCGGCCAACGTGTTTCTCCCCCCTTCCGCCGTGACCCTGACAGGACCACAACTCCGAGGCTGCGTTGCCCTGCCCAGACCCCAGCCACTCCGCGCCCTCACGAAGGCCAAGGCCACGGTCGCTGCTCTTGGTAAATTATTTACTCCCGCGTGTGCACTCGCCCACCCGTCCTACCGGACCGACTGGACTCTCCCCGTCGCCCGTACTGTGTTCATCCACCACGTCGCAGGATATATACAGAGGGTGGTGGTCCCAGATGTCTTGTGACCTTCCCAGTTAATTGACCCCCCCCCCCATCAAAAAAGTATTTTTTTTTTACTTTTGCATATTCCTTTTTCTGACTTAAAAAAAATACGTCTTAGAGGATTAAGTTAAGGTCACACGACATCTGCACCTCCCTGTGCATATATATATGAAAACATGTGATTAATTGGCTACATACGGTGTTAAAGAAGTTCAACATACAAAAAAATACATACGTACGTACAGCACGGCCCCCGATTGTGAGACTACTGGCGGACTTGACACGTGCGTGACACAGCAGCAGCAGCAGCAGCGGTGGCGCCGTCCTTCCCTCCTTGCGCTACCGTAACCCTCGCGCTAAGCGAGGACTGCGCGGATACCGCTCCCCCCCCCCCCCCCAAACAAATGGCCCGCCAGTCGCGAGGTTTGTTTCGTGTCGTCTCTTCCGAGGCAGAACCCGCCGGAGGAATTCTCACGCAGCGTCAGGCGGAGGGCCTCGTGCCAGGACCAGGCCCTGGCTCGGACACCGCTCAGCGGAGACTTCCAGGGCAGCTACTGCACGCAGTGCGAGACGCCGCCTCGGATCGACTCGCCAGGTAACACCCCCCCCCCTCTCCTCTCCACCACCACCACTAATCACACTGCTCCACATCCACCCCCACCACCACCACTCCTCACGCTGCCCCCCCCCCACCACCACCAACACTCCTCGCAACCCTGTGAGCTCGTTTGAAATGGGGGGCGGGGCAGGGGACATACACAGGTTGTTGGGTGGCCGAGGCTCGGATTGAATCCGACTGTTTAGAATGTTTAGAGTCTTTAGAATGTGTTCGTTATCCTGGAGAAATGCGACGAGCTCTGAAGCTCTCTTTCACAGACGTCCAGCAGGTCGCGGGTCAGAGAGTTACAAAAACAATAAAACAATCCAAGGGTCACGATAGGGAGTACAAAGTACGGGGGAAAGGGTGAGCAAATCACTACAAATAAAATAAGTAAAAGAGATAAAAGTTTTGAAGTTCAAATTGCATGAAAGGACACCGATTCCCCAAAGGTTGGGCAAGGCAGCAAACCAACAGCAGTTCCGGACCACACCAAGACAACAAGACGCGGTCCACTCGATAAAATTACACTCACAAAGTTTTCTAAAAACGCGATCGTAACTCGCGAACTCGTGACTTTTCCCGCCCGTGCCGCGGGAAGCGGCGGTGTTTTACGATGTTCTCGGGAGAGACCTCCCGAGCTGTCGAGACTCGGCGTTGCCTGGCACTCCTCCTCCGTGCCGGCCCTCGCCGTTTTCTTGGCAGTGCAACGCGGAGCCGACGCTCCGGGTTTGGCGCGGGTCGACTGTGGGAGCCCGCACCGCCTTCGTCTCTGTAGCGCTCTCCAGGGCTCGAATCCCGAGTTTCGGCCACGCGTGGCATTAAAGACCCATCGACTGGCATAGACACCAGCAGACTCGCATAGAGACCTGTAGACTTGCATTTTATCCGTAGACTCGCATCGAGACCCATACACCCGAATCGAGAACCCTAGACGCCCTTAGATTGTCCATAGACAGAGTTGTAATTCAACCGTGTTCTCAAATGTGGCGAGCTGATGATCTCAGCCCGGTCACCACTGATTGCATTTCATTAAAAACCACTGCTATGACCTTACACACATACAAAGACAAAGGTCCCCCGTATAGCCTGAACAGACTGTAGGGGGCAAGTGCTGCTAGCGAGTACCTATGAAGGGCAGAACGGCACACGAGGGAGTGGGTGGCCAGCACCACGCCCAGCCGCCTTTGTCTCCCCAGTGGCGATGGTTTTACGCACCGTACCAGATACTCATTTGAGGCGGAGTCGACCTAGGGGAGGCCCAGAACCGGTTCAGACAATTGTCACTGATGTTGGCCGTGAGCGGGAATCGAACTCGGGTCGCCAAATTCGTAGCGCAGAGTGCAAACTGCTACACTCCCCCCTCGCTGGGCGAGAGCGGCGTACAGGAGGAGGTGGTGGGCCCACGCCGTTCGTCTCTGGGCGTGCCGAGCCGCGCCTTCCACCCATCGACATGGGGCTCCTAAAGAAGCGATGATTTCGACAAAAAATGTTCGAGATGCAAATCAGGGCAGGGCGCGGCAAATGCGCGCGAGTTAATTTCGCGAGTTCAGTGAAGGTGGGAGGGGAAGCGGGGGAGGAGCGGGAGGGGTGTGGGGGGGGTCATCGAGCGCCCCGCGGGAGCCACTGTCCCTTTCTCGGGAGACTTGGGCCCTCTCGCTGCCGCGATTGCGTCACGGCGGCCGCACGTACACACGGACACACAGACACACGTACACACGGACACACGTACACACGGACACACGTACACACGGACACACGTACACACGGACAGACGGACACACGGACACACGGACAGACGCACGCACGGACGGACGCACGCACGGACACACGCGCGCACGTGCACCACGCACACGGATGGTTGCTTAAATATACTTCGCCACGCCGGTCAGTGTGGGTCGGTGAAGGTGTTGGGGTGGGGGGGGTTCAGAGCCAATTCAGACACGACCAGTAGTGACACCGTAACGGTGATAAACGCGACGTTAACGCTGCATCATCGAAAAGGCATGAAGACAACAATACAATTGTGATCAAACTTCACCACGCTGGTCACTGCGTGGTGATAAAGGTGGGGGGGGGGGGGGGTAGAGTGTTCAGGGCCGGCTCACTTATCACTCGCACGTGACGTTAGCCGTGGGTTTATTTATTTTTATTTTTAAACAGAGGTCAGGTTTGCTGGGTTCATTGTGTTCCAATCACTGCGCCACCAGCTTCCTTTGCAAGTCATCATCATGACTTGAGGAAAACAACCACATCGGGTTCATTGGCGTTCGACTCCTACGCCCGCGAAAAAAATAAAACCACGCACCTAGCCCCACCGTGACACGTCGGAGAGGAACGCGAATTTTTCGCAAAACGCGCGCCCGCGAGAGAGAGGGAGGGAGGGAGCCCTCCTTTCTCCTCCTCCTCCTCGTGGTCGTCGTCGACGGCCGGTGTTTTCATGCGGGCGCTGGGCCGATTGCAGGCTGCCACCAGAAGCAGGTCGGGCTGGTGCAAGGGCGGGGGTGGTGGTGGGGGGGGGGGCACGTGAACAGACGAAGCACGAGGGGGGCAAGGGGCGGATCCCCTCAAAGTGGGTGAGGGGGCTCCCAGGGGTCACGATGGACATCGGGGGGTTGTGCACCCGTTATCAGCTCCAACATCAGCGGCTGATAGGCTCGTGGTTCTAAACAGCGCTTACAAATATTTGAGCGGGTTTTTTGTTGTTGTAACTAGTCTATTGGATGCATTGTTTCACAAAGCTGCGGTGTTGCCCGTATGCATGTTGGGTTTCTTTCGCACCGTACGTAGCCAACCGCCCTCATCGGAGGTGTTGTTACGCTGATGGTAGCTGCTGCGGCGTGTGTTTTGTAGCCACGTGTCAAAACAAGTCAACGTGGTTTCCTGCTCCAATGAGCATTGAAGCGGTGTTAATTCCCCATTACTATGGCAAGGACGAGTCTCGAAAACATCAGATAACCACCGTTGACATCCGCACAAAATAGTACCGATTTTATCGACCCCGAGGAGGGATGATGGGCTGAGTCGACCATCTATGACCAGGACTTGAACTCCCAACCTTTCGCTTACGAGCCGCTCGCTCCACCGCACACAGCCACAGAACTCTGCCAATTACCGCCGTGGCTGCAATTGGCGAGGCACAGCGTCACTTCCCCCCCCCCCCCCCATCGATTTTAAATGTTTTATACTCATGACGACGAAGCAGATACCTGCCCTTGGCAGCGTCGTCACCTTTGACGTCGACAAACGCGGAGCTTTTTCGTTTCACACCTCGGGTATAAATATCGAAACACCGCCGTCATCATTATCATCATCATCATCGCCGCAGCCACTGCCTCTCCCTCGTCTGCTAGCCGCGTACCCCACCGTGGTTACTCAGCCACTCTGCCACTCGGGGTCACAATGACTCACACCACCCCCTCCCCCCACCCCACAAAAACCCCCTCCGCCTAGAGGCGTCACAATGTGCAAGCCTCGGTGGTGAGATGTCAACTACCTCGGCAGGTATACAGGAGGTCGTGGGGTTCGATCCCGACCCTGACGCCTGCTGCGGTATATTTGGAGTTTGCGGTGTCTCTCTCTCCCCGCGGTCGCGTGGATTTTTCTCCGGGTCCTCCGGTTTCACCCCTCCACATTTAGACTCGACCTCAAGCATTCAGAGAATTCGGCTGCTGCTCTACATGTCCACGTGACGACGATGAGCCGCCACTGTGTTGAGCTTTCATTCGCGATGGGCCAGGTCGCTGCTTGAAAAAGAGCTATCCCACATGGCTCAGCGGTGGGCCTTCCCTGGCAACAAAACGACAACATTTCATCGTCAAATTGATTTCGCTCCGCGTTGTCGTTCTCGGGAACGACTCAGACGGCGCGCCTCCGTCGCGCCACGGCGACGGCGAGGACGACGACTCAGACGGCGGCCGACGCGGGAGCACGCCGCGATCCGACAGCGAGGACGGCTCGCCGACCCGCGGCGCCGAGAGCGGCAACTCGGGCAGAGGTGAGCGAGCTTCGGATGCCTGCGATGCATCCAACTCCCCACTCCCCCCCCCCACCCATCAAACACCGCCAGGGTGCCGTGATTAAGGTATTTGTGAAGGAAGGTGAGGAATTTAATTTTTTTTCTCGACGTGCTGCACCCGTGAAATGCGGACCGGCTGCGTGGCTCTACTTTCTGCCACGCTGAAGAAATGGAAGGTAAATCTTTTAACGCCGTCGGCCCCCCCCCCCCCCCCACGTCCTCTCACCGCCCCCCCCCCGCACCCCCTCCATACTAAACCCGCCGCACGGCCGGCCACTCCGCCACCGAGAGCCTTCACAGCACGACGGCCCAAAATGATTGAACAACATTTCTAGTGCAGAACCAAATTTTAATGTGCCCGCTTTTTCCCCCCGCCCCCATCCATAGAGCCACTGGCCGGTCGGGCTGAGGCCATCTCAACTCTCCACCGTTGAGCACACACGGTGTTCTCATGGGACGCTGCCTGGATTGGAACCCAGAACCTCAGACGTGGCAGCTTGGCGCTCTCACTTTGAGCTTCTCAGCACGAACCTCTCAATGTCTTTGACTCGAACAAAAAATACTTTGTTGTGAAGGATCCAACGCAGAACATCCCTCTGCGTTTGATCTTCGACAAAAGCTCACGGTCCGCCCTAAACCGCGTCCACTGCACACACCATGGCAGATGCGGATACCTGATGCACAAATGGAAAGTGGTCATCCAGAACAGACCGTACAACGAATAACGACACAACTCCCGATCCACAAACACGACGGAGACATCGTGTTCCTGGTGCGGTTGTCCGGCTCGACCACCTGAATGCGAAATTTTGGCTGCTGCTCTGCATCTACATCAACAGCCATATGAAAGAAATAATTTATTTTAAATTATTATAACAACAGCAATAATGGTCACGACGACGCAACCTACCACGTGCACACAGCTTCACGGAGGGCAGTAAGCGCGACCGCGATGGGAGGCGCGTAGCGTTGGCTCTGGGCCCCGCGAACGTGGCGGTTCTCTCTCTCTCTCTGTGTGCTCTCTCTCTGTCTGTCTGTCGCAGACCCCCCCAGGTGCAACGGCCACGCGAAGGGCCCGCCCGGGTGGCCGTGCCCCGCGCTCACGGACCCCGGCCCAGCGGGGAAGAAGCGCTCGCTTTCTCTGCTCTGGCTTTATTTATTCATGTGAGTACCATCCTCTTACGGCAGTGTCCTTTATTGCGAGGCCCCGCGGCCCGCTGGCGGTCCCCTGGTAGCCTTTGGTGTGGACCCTGGCGTGCGGCCACCAGGTTTCATATGTGTGGCGGCCCTCGCACACTGATGATGCTTTATCGGCGAAAGTGGGGCGCCTCTTTGAAAATGAGTGAGGAACACGTGCCCCTATGCGGTAACCCTAGCGACTCGGAGTCTCCACAGCACTCGGTGCCCTGGTGCCCTGGTGCCTGAGTACCCGAGTGCCCTAATGCCCTGGTGCCCCAGTGCCCGAGTGCCCTGGTGCTCAGGTACCCTGGTGCCCCAGTACCCGAGTGCCCTAATTCCCTGGGTGCACGAGTGCCCTGGTGCCCTGGTGCCCCAGTGCCCGAGTGTCTTGGTACTCCAGGTAAGATGACTTTTGATGGCTGTGTGTGTCTTTGCGCCGCGGTGTGTAAACATCACCACTCGGGAGAAAAAGGTGGTCGGGCGTGGTGCCTGCCACCCACCCACCCCCTCGTGTACCGTCCCGGCCTTCATAGGTGCTCACTAACAGCACTTGCCCCAACAGTCTATTAAGGCTATACGGGGGTCTTTGTCTTTCTGCCTTGACGTGTGTGTGTGTGTGCCTTTGACGTGTGTGTGTATTTTAATGTTATCGCCGTAGATGCGATGGAGATTGCCGTGGTAAACAGGGGCAGGCGTTCCGCCTCGCCGCCCGTCGTGATGAGGAATGCCACCGCGCGTGCTTGCTCAGCGCAGAGTTTACAAACGGCGTCCGCGCTTGTTTGCTCGGACTGCTGTTGCTCATCTCGGAATTCTAGCGGTGCAGCTGTTTCTGTTGTTTTGTACTCCGTGTGTGTGTGTGTGCGCGCGTGCGTGGCCTCAAACCACGCCGAGCCTGGCACGGGAGGTGTGGTGATGTCCCACTGGTGGATGGAGGCTGGTGTTTGTTTGTACTGACAGGGGGGGAAGGGAGTCGGTGTAATGAATAGCGCGCCGCGCTACGAACCCGGCGTCCCGAGTTCGATTCCCCATCATGGGAAGCGAGGATCAGTGGCAAGTGCGGCCTGTACTGGCCATTCCCCGTCTTCTCCCAGGTTGACTCAGCCTCAGGTACCTCGTGTATTTTGTAAAAAAAAAAAAAAACCCCATCAGGACAGAGAGAGAGAGAGACAAATGCGGCCGCTCGTTGTGCTGACCACACCACCACCTCGTGCATCATTCCGGCCTTGATTAGGTAGCCGCCAGCAGCACTTGCCCCGACAGTTTACGTCGGGCTACCTGGGAGATCTTCATCTCTGTCGTGGTTTGTGCGTGCGTGCGTGCGCAGCGTCCTGCTGCTGGTGCTGGTGAGTTGCTACATGGCGGTGCGCATCAACCTCCTGGAGGAGATGTTGGCCCGGATAGCGATCCCTCCAAAGCCGCCCCTCCGTCCGCAGAGGTGATGGCCGCACTTCCTCGACCTCCTCGGTACAAATTCGCACAGCAGCCTCCTCCTCCTCCTCCTCCGTCTCCTTCTCCTCCGCACCCTGTGCTGCAAATCTCTGCGTCTCATCACCTCCCCTCCCCACGTGTGCGAAAGGGGGCAACGCTCTATCCCGGTGTTCTTCATTGCAAAGGCACCGCAGGCCACGGGCGACCCCTTGTGGCCTTTAGTGCGCCCCCCCCCCCCCCCCCCCCCCCCCCCCCCCCCCCCGGGACAATACGCAAAGATTGAAAACACCCCCCGGGCATCATCGTGCTGCTGTCAAACCCCAAAGGTGTTAAATGCGTGGCGGCCCTCTCTCTGACGACGTCTTATCGGCGAAGGTGCCCCCCCCCCCTCTCCACGCCGCCCTCTGAAAATGAGTGAAGAGCACTTCTCTATCCCAAACAGAGGGAACAGGTGGAGTCCACACCTTTGTTTTTGCTGGACCGCCTTCTCCTCCTCCACGCCCACGTGGTTATCGCAACGTCCGTGTGTGCGGTGATCTACGAACCCTCGTTGCTGCCTCCACAGTGCCGGGTTACAGGCAGCGACGCGCAGCAGCGTAGCTACCACCGCCGGCACCAAAGAAAGGCAATGATACCCTCGTGTAGCCTTCACGGGCTGGAGGGACAAGTGCTGTTAGCGAGTAGCACACCGATGAAGGACGGGAGAGAAAATCACCGCCACTACCACCGCCGCCACCACCTTAATCACCGCCACTACAACCCCCACCACCGCCACAACCACCACAGCCAGCACCGCCGCGACCACCCCCACCAGCACCACAACCACCACAACTAGCACCAACGCCACCACCACCACCATCACCAACGCCGCATTAACAACCACAACTAGCACTACCGCCATCACCGCCACCAGCGCCGGCACCACCGCCACAACCACCACACCCAGCACCACCAGCGCCATCACCCCCACCACCACCGCCACAACCGCCATACCCAGCACCACCGCCACAACCACCACACCCAGCACCACCAGCGCCATCACCCCCACCACCACCGCCACCGCCACAACCGCCACACCCAGCACCACCGCCACAACCACCACACCCAGCACCACCAGCGCCATCACCCCCACCGCCACCGCCACAACCGCCACACCCAGCACCACCGCCACAACCACCACACCCAGCACCACCGCCCTGCTTGATGCGGTGTGGTCGCGTTCTTTGTTTTCGCAGGTACGGAGAGGTGTGATACGAGCGGTCCGGGTCACGGCTTCTGGGCCAAGACCCTGCTACGGGAAACACCTCGCGCCGAGCTGCAGGCAGAGTTGGTGGGGGGTGGAGTGGGGGGGAGAGTCGGTGACTCTGACCCGTCCCCACTGGGCGAATTTGAAGAAAGGCGCAGCGAGCGAGACAGACATGAAGCTGATAAATTAAACGCGGGGGGAGAGGGAAGGCGATGTGGGCCAAAGTGTTTGCGTCTTGCACCCACGCACGATGCACGACTTAGCTTTGTCCACGGTGTCTTATGCCGATTAGCGGGATTCTGTTTCGCTGTTGTTGTTTGAGCAAAGTTGGAACTTCGCGCCATATCCTATACGCGTACTTTGTATTTATACCACAAATAAGTTAATGTCCTTCGACGTTGCGCACTGGGAGCGTAGCCCCGTAGCGGACGATGTGCGGATTTCCTTTGTTGATTATGTTTTGGGTAGTGCAGAAGAGTAGGCCGAATACCGTCGTAGAGAGTATGCAGACACACGCACACGCATGCATGCGTGTGTGTGTGTATGTTGAGCTTCTTTCGCTCCATGCGTAGCCGACCTCGCTAATCTCCAGGTGCGGATTCTCTGCAGGTCTCTGTTGCATGCGGTGGGGTAAAATGTGGACACTCCCACCTTTACCAACATGTCTAGACCGCATGAAAGAGTAGGCCGAATACCATCTACAGGGGCGGTGAGCTTCTCTGAAGCTCTCTCCAATTTGGGGGGGGGGGCCTTCCACCAGCAGCGGAGAGAGCAAGACATTGCTGCACCTGTACCTTTACAAGATCACGATCCGTGCGGCAGATGAAGCTTTCACTTGGAGGTGAACTTTCGCCAACGAGTTCCGTGATTATTTCCTGTCGTCATTCACATTTTTTTGTAGGGCACGGCACGTTTCATTATTGGCGGACAAACAACACGACGTGACTACGTGTGTGTATGTGTGCGTGCGTGTCGTCTGTGTGCCCGTTGTGGGGAGCGGTTGTGTAGCGGTGAGCGCGCTGCACTACGATCCTGGCGACACGGGTTCGATTCCCGCTCACGGCCAACACCAGTGACCATTATCTGAACCGGTGCCGGGCCTCCCCTAGGTCTACTCAGACTCAAAACGAGTACCTGGTGCGGTGTGTAAACAATGCCACGAGGGAGACAAAGGCGGCCGGGTGTGGTGTTGGCCACCTACCCCCTCGTATACCGTGCCGGCCTTCATACGTGCTCGCTAACAGCACTTGCCCCAACAGTCTATCAAGACTACAGGGGGGAGATGTTTCTCTTTGTGTGCGTGTGTCTGTGTGTAAAACACGCACAGTCCAAACCGCGTCTTGTTGCACCAGAAGGAGCTTTAAACGCCTCCGGCAAAGTTATGCACCGCACATCGAATACGGCACCATAGCGTTAGGTGCATAGCAAAGCCGCGGGTGTAATGTACGTCACGAGGATTGAGCGATTTGCACCTCGACAATCGGATCTGTTCAATGCGCAGCGGAGTTTAGCGACGAGTTGATTATTGCGGTGTGGCCGGGCGAGCCCTCGGGAGACCTGGGTGAATGATGGCAAGCAGCACCACTCGGACCGCCACGGTGGCTAGGAGATGTTAACTCCCTCGCCCGGTATACAGGAGGTCGTGGGTTCGATTCCGATCCTGGCGCCTGCTGCTGTATATTTGGAGTTTGCGTGTCTCTCCCTCCCCGTGGTCGCGTGTATTTTTCTCCGGGTTATTATTCGCATTTGGAAAAGTGCTAGACATTTCCACGTGATAAGTCACTTCGTTGAGCTATCATTTGTGGCCAGGTCGCTTCTGAAAAAGAGCTACAAAGCTCAGTGGGCCTTCACCAGGAAAATAGAAATAGAGTAATTTAGCAAATAAAGCGTGTTCATGATCGACATAGGAAGGCCTTCATCCAGCAGTGGATAGACAATGGCTGATGATGATGACTTAGTAACGCACTATAATAATAATAAGATATAATAATTTACATATTTAATGCTTCATGTGATCATACAAATTGTGGTCGCTCGATTAATTTGCGAGTTGCCACATTCGAGGAGCGGGTGGCAGTGGCTTAATCAGAGTATCCTTCGGCAGATTCATTCACGGCCTCATGTTGATCGGCAGGGGGTGGAGCGGCGGCGCAGCAGTTGGCGCATTGCGAGTTCACTTCTCGGCCACGTTCCAGAGTTCACGTACCGGCCACCGCTTGCAGCGTCGAGCGAAATCCGACTCGGTCCTTCACCAATCCCGCACCGACCAGCGTGGTCCACTACGGTCAAGCAACCCCCCCCCCCCCACCCCCATGACTGCTACGGGCACAGGGGAAGCCTTCGTCCAGCAGTGGATTAACAATGGGGCCCGCAAGTACATTTGTCAGTAGCAGCCAGCATCTGGGTGACAAGAGAGTCACGCGGTCTGTCACGCGATGCACACCCCCGAACCAGCGCTCAATCTTGCGCCACCGCTAAGCAATCTCACGTCGCCAGAGTAACGTGACGCACGCACGCACGCTTGTGTTTCCCCGCAAAAAAAAACACACGCAAATACAAAGATCCCCCGTATAGTCTGTAGCAGACTGTCGGGGCAAGTGCTGTGAGCGAGTAGCACCTCTTAAGGTCGGCAATGGCACACGAGGGTGGTTGGGTGGCGAGCACCACGCCCGGCCGCCTTTGTCTCCCTAGCGGCGGTGCGTTTTCACACCGCACCAGGTATGAATTTGTGGCCGAGTCGACCCAGGAGAGGCTCAGGACCGGTTGATAAAGTATGTCAAGGCTATACGGGGGACCTTTGTCTTTGTCTCAGCAGTGCAGATTTTCGCACGCGGTCCTGTCCAGAAGAACCGCAGAGAGCCGGAGTTCTAACCTCATGGCAAGAGTCGCCAAACAACAACAAGTGAATGGTTTTCCTTGATGTTCTTTTAAATCGCAGTTGTTTGCTGAGCACAGTGCCCAAAGGCACAGAGTGCCAAGCGACGAGCTTACAAACAGCACAACTGAAAGTGTGAAAGGACGAGTTGACAGGTTTGTGGGAGTAAGCGCGGTTAGAAGGATGCTGGGGGAATCGAAACGAATGGGAGGGGATTCCTTCGGCCAGCGGGGTGAGGAGAGAAGCGTTGTTGTGACCTGTTGTGGTGGTGGTGGCGGTGTTTGAGCGCGCATCAAATGGAACATTCCGATTGGCGGACCGAGTCCTCGGCATGGCGGGGAGGAATCAATGAGTTAAGTTTACGGGTCAGTAATCGTGGTAGCAGCGATGAGAGAATGACGAGTGGGCGACTGACCGCCGTTGAGTAGTGAATTCGGTGAATGCCGGGTCATCAATCAAAGCCCCACTGCTTTGATGCTGGAGGGGAGTGCTCGCGGATCGGGACGGCAGGAATGCAGCACCGCGTGCGTTTGATTCGCGTGTGTCGGATGCAAGTCGCTGGCTGTTGCGACCTCTATACAAATCCAAGAACGAATTGGCCCAACCTCGTCAGGAGGGACCCCACTGGTTGGCTCGCAGCTCTGCTTCAGGGGCGGGTCGGCGAGATGTTAACTACGTCGCCTGGCATACAGGAGGTCGTGGTTTTGAACTGGACCCTGACGCCGATTTATTTGGAGATTGTATTTCGTGCCCGTGGTAGCGTGGATTTATCACCGGGTCTTTCTGTTATGCCCTCCACATTGAGAAGAATCGACTTGCGTTCAGAGTATTCGGCTGCTATAAATGTCCACGTGATAAGCCACTTCGTTGAGCTATCATTTTCGGCCAGGTCGCTTCTGAAAAAGAGCTACATACAGTGAGGGAAAAAAGTATTTGATCCCCTGCTGATTTTGTACGTTTGCCCACTGACAAAGAAATGATCAGTCTATAATTTTAATGAAAGGTTTATTTGAACAGTGAGAGATGGAAAAACAACCAAAAAAATCCAGAAAAACGCATGTCAAAAATGTTATAAATTGATTTGCATTTTAATGAGGGAAATAAGTATTTGACCCCTCTGCAAAACATGACTTAGTACTTGGTGGCAAAACCCTTGTTGGCAGTCACAGAGGTCAGACGTTTCTTGTAGTTGGCCACCAGGTTTGCACACATCTCAGGAGGGATTTTGTCCCACTCCTCTTTGCAGATCTTCTCCAAGTCATTAAGGTTTCGAGGCTGACGTTTGGCAACTCGAACCTTCAGCTCCCTCCACAGATTTTCTATGGGATTAAGGTGTGGAGACTGGCTAGGCCACTCCAGGACCTTAATGTGCTTCTTCTTGAGCCACTCCTTTGTTGCCTTGGCCGTGTGTTTTGGGTCATTGTCATGCTGGAATACCCATCCACGACCCATTTTCAATGCCCTGGCTGAGGGAAGGAGGTTCTCACCCAAGATTTGACGGTACATGGCCCCGTCCATCGTCCCTTTGATGCGGTGAAGTTGTCCTGTCCCCTTAGCAGAAAAACACCCCCAAAGCATAATGTTTCCACCTCCATGTTTGACGGTGGGGATGGTGTTCTTGGGGTCATAGGCAGCATTTCTCCTCCTCCTCCAAACACGGCGAGTTGAGTTGATGCCAAAGAGCTCCATTTTGGTCTCATCTGACCACAAAACTTTCACCCAGTTGTCCTTTGAATCATTCAGATGTTCATTGGCAAACTTCAGACGGGCATGTATATGTGCTTTCTTGAGCAGGGGGACCTTGCGGGCGCTGCAGGATTTCAGTCCTTCACGGCGTAGTGTGTTACCAATTGTTTTCTTGGTGACTATGGTCCCAGCTGTCTTGAGATCATTGACAAGATCCTCCCGTGTAGTTCTGGGCTGATTCCTCACCGTTCTCATGATCATTGCAACTCCACGAGGTGAGAACTTGCATGAAGCCCCAGGCCGAGGGAGATTGACACTTTTTTGTGTTTCTTCCATTTGCCAATAATCGCACCAACTGTTGTCACCTTCTCACCAAGCTGCTTGGCAATGGTCTTGTAGCCCATTCCAACCTTGTGTAGGTCTACAATCTTGTCCCTGACATCCTTGGAGAGCTCTTTGGTCTTGGCCATGGTGGAGAGTTTGGAATCAGATTGATTGATTGCTTCTGTGGACAGGTGCCTTTTATACAGGAAACAAGCTGAGATTAGGAGC